CTCACAATCTAAACTAAAACCCGATTGGCTAACAACTTAAAAGTTTTCTAAACAGGTAAAGGAGTGGAGAGCTGGGACATGCCTGTGAGCACATCCAGCACAGATACCTTGGTTAAGTACAAGGACATAGAATGTACTATGTGTCTGTAAGCATGGCATGTCTAACAGCTACATAGGATAGGGCTTAACAAAGTCATTAGCACACTTATTCTCTAACAAGAGAGGAAACTTTAAAAAGGAAATTTTTTACTTCCCACACCCTAAAAATTATGTGCTATCCCCCTAAAATCATTGACACCTTTCCATCTCCCTTTCCCCTAAGAAGGGTATGTAAGTATCTGTACCCCAAGCATGGTGGGGAAGCATTCTGTGATCTGCCGCTATGCCCACTAATAAACCTGTATGCTTTTTCTCCTGCTAACCTACCTTTTGTCAGCTGGTTTTCTGCAAACCTCAGAGGGTGAAGGGGGACTTTCCCCTTGCCCCCCATGCGGTCTTCCCCCTGTCCTCCCACAGCAGCCTCTCTGTGTCTGTGTCCTGACTGTCCTTCTCGTAAAGACACCAATCATATTGGATTAGGACCCACCCCAATGATCTCATTTTTACCTTAATTACCTCTTACAGACCTTACCTCCAAATACAGGCTGAGCATGGTGGTTCTGCAATCCCAGAACTTTGGGAGGCTGAGGTGGGAGGATCATTGGAGGCCAGGAGTTCTAGACCAGCCTGGGCAACATAGGGAGATCCCATCTTTACAAATAAAATTTTAAAAATTATCCATACACCCATGGTCCAGCTACTCAGGAGGCTGAGGTGGAAGGATCACTTGAGACCAGGAGGTCAAAGCTGCAATGAGCCAAGATTGTGCCACTGAGTGACAGAGTGAGACCCTGTCTCAAATAAATGAATAAACAAATACAGTTCCATTCTAAGATACTGGAGGTAGGATTTCAGCCTATGACTGTGTGGGGGACACAGCCTGTGACAGGTGGGAAGAGAAGCTCCCTCCCTCCATGAAGCGCCACAGGCACCATGGAAAGGGCTCTGGGCCAGGGTTGGAGGAACTGTCACAGCCAACCACGCTGACCGTGCCCATGCTCTGGGTCCCCTGCCTGGCACCCCTGGAGCCTCCTCACAGCTGAAAGTAGGCAGGGAGTCACGTCCGGTGGGCTGGGGAGAGCTTCCACTCAGCCTCACCAGGACTGAGTTTCTCAGCAGGGACACCAGTGATGGTAGAGGGGGTGTCAGGTGAGCTGAGTGTGGAAAGCCACGAAACAGCGCTCAGAAAGCTGGGTTCCCAAGGGGCAAGGCCCACAGGAGAAAGTCCAGGTCCCTCTCTACGAGGCTCCAGCCCTCTCATGATCTAGTTCCATGCCAGCTTCAGAGTCACATCCCTCAGCACCACCCACACCCATCCCGGGCCTTGCACTTTCTCCTCTGCTCACGGTGCTCTTGAGTCACGCAGAACTCAGCCTCATCTCCAAGACGCAGCCAAGGGCTCCACTTAGCTTTCCCTTCCTCCTTCCCGGGGAGGCTAAAGGAGAAAAGGCGCTTACCAAGCTACACGCCTGCCTGCCTCCTTCATCCAGGTTAGAAGTTCAGGGCCAGTGGGCCAGGCACAGTGGCTCACACCTGTAATCCCAGCACTTTGGGAGGCCGAGGTGGGCGGATCAAAAGGTCAGGAGTTCGAGACCAGCTGGCCAATATGGTGAAACCTTGTCTCTACTAAAAATACAAAAATTAGCTGGGCATGGTGGCAGGTACCTGTAATCTCAGCAACTCAAGAGACCGAGGCAGGAGAATCACTTGAACCCAGGAGGCAGAGGCTGTAGTGAGCTGAGATGGTGCCACTGCACTCCAGCCTGGGTGACAGCGCGAGACTCTGCCTCAAAAAAAAAAAAAAGAAGTTCAGGGCCAGCATGTGATGCCGGTGCCGGCCCCACGCTAGGGCTGTGACATGTCACTCCAATGAACCCCAACATCATTTCATCCCAGGGCCAACCACAGTCCCAGGCGCGGAAGGGCTCTGTCACTCATGATCAAATTAAGTAAGCTGTTTCTGTTTTTGTTTTGAGACGGAGTTTCACTCTTGTTGCCCAGGCTAGAGAACAGTGGCACGATCTCGGCTCACTGCAACCTCCGCCTCCTGGGTTCCAGCGATTCTCCTGACTCATCCTCCCAAGTAGCTGGGATCACAGGCATGCGCCACCACGCCCAACTAATATGTAGGGTGGGGTTTTCACCATGTTCGTTAGCCTGGTCTCAAACTGCCGACTTCAGGTGATTCGCCCACCTTGGCCTCCAAAGTTCTGGGATTACAGGCATGAGCCACCATGCCTGGCTCAAATTAAATAGGTTTAAAATACATTATTGATTACAGTTGCAAAAAAGGGAGATCACCAAAATGTGAAGAACTTAACACAATTAAATATTGCCTGGTGCCGTGCACCAAATTGTGTTGCCCCAAATTTATGTCAAAGTCCTAAACCCCAGGATTTCAGAATGTGACTGTATTTGGAGAGAAGGCCTTTAAGGACGTCATTAAGATAAAAATGGGGTCAGTCAGGTGGTCCCTCATCCAACAGGCCTGGTGTCCTCATAAGAAAAGGAGATTTGGACACACAGAGTGACATCAGACACATGTGCACACAGAGAAAGGACCATGTGAAGACACAGGAGAAGACAAACTTCTATAAGCCAAGAAGAGAGGCCTCACGGAAACCACTCCTGCTGCCACATTGACCTTGAAGAAATAAACCTGAGGCCAGGCACGGTGGCTCCCGCCTGTAATCCCAGCACTGTGGGAGGCCGAGGCGGGTGGATCACGAAGTCAAGAGATCAAGACCATCCCGGTCAGCATGGTGAAACCCCGTCTCTACTAAAAATACAAAAAATTAGCTGGGCATGGTGGCGCGTGCCTGTAATCCCAGCGACTCAGGAGGCTGGGGCAGGAGAATTGCCTGAACCTGGGAGGCGGAGGTTGCGGTGAGCCGAGATCATGCCATTGCACTCCAGACTGGGTAACAAGAGCGAACCCCCGTCTCAAAAAAAAAAAAAAAAAAAAAAGAGATTGAGACCAGCCTGGCCAACATGGTGAAATCCTGTCTCTAATAAAAATACGAAAATTAGCCAGGCGTGGTGGCAGGCACCTGTAGTCCCAGCTACTCAGGAGGCTGAGGCAGAATTATTTGAACCCGGGAGGTGGAGGTTGCAGTGAGGTGAGATCACACCACTACACTTCAGCCTGGGTGACAGAGCGAGACTCCATCTCAAAAAAAAAGGAAAAGAGAAACTTGAAGCAGTAAGTCTTTGTCGTTTCAGCCCCTCCGTCTGTGGCACTGTTACAGCAGCCTGAGTGCACTCATACAGCTGGTCGCAATGCAGATGTATTAAATCAGACCCAGAAAAAAATAATTAGAAGAGGATTAGCACGAAATAGCTCACACGGTTCAAAACGTTGCCTCTCTCCCTGCACAATGGCTCCTACATCCTGAACGCAAATTCATAGTTCTGCCAGCACATCGCCAAAGAAAGGCTGTCTTCCGCTACTCTGTGCTCTGACAGTTTTGTTAATGAAGGTGCCTTGCTGGGCTTTCTCCTAACGCGTGTTCATTTCCACTTTTGTGGCAGAGTCGCTATGCTAATGCCTCTGCTGATTCATTGCAAATAGGGCGATGGATCTCTCATGGGCACATGTTTCATCCAACCCAAAGATAAAGCCCCATCCAGTTGCAGGAGGATGAGCCTGGGTTTTAGAGTCCAAATTTTTGCTTCAGACTCCCAGGAGACAATTTTATAATCCTTCTACCAATATCTATTGAGGCAGCCTGCAAGCACTCCACCCTGTGGGGTAGTGGGGAGTGTGGACATCAGGGAACTGACTTGACAAAGGTACTCCTGGGGACTCTGGGGGCAGTGAGGGCCCAGCCAGTCCAGCAGACACACCCACCATAGCCCACAAGCCTGTCTTCACTTGTGAGGGCCAGAAGGCCCATGTCCCCACCACCTTGTGTGGCAGTGAGCAGACTAGGTGGCCTTGGCTTGTTCTCTATCCATGGGATAATGTTGATGGTATTAACATTTATGCAGGTGTCCCATGGCTCTGTGCATTCTGGGGACAGTGCCGTGGGCCAAATATATCCTCCAAAGTTCATACTCTGAAGCCCTAATCCCCAGTGAGATGGTATTTGCAGGTGGAGCTGTTGGGAGGGGACTGGAGGTAGATCAGATCATGAGGGTGGGACCCCCTTGATGGGATTAGTGCCCTTATAAAAACAGGAAGAGACAAGAGAGCTCTTTGTCTGCCACGTAAGGACACAGGAAGAAGGCCACCATCTGCAAACCAGGCTCTCACCAGACACCAAATCTGCTGGCACCTTGATTTTAGACTTTGCAGCCTCAAAAACTGTGAGAAATGAAGTCTGTTGTTTAAGCCTCCACTCTGTGGTATTCTGTAAGAGCAGCCTCAACAGACGAAGGCAGGCGGCACATACCCGGTGTCTCTGGAAAAGAGGTATGCAGCTGCAGCAACACCCCCTTTTCAGATGACAGAGGCTGCCCAAGGTGGAGATGTCTGCCAAGGTCCTGCAGCTGATCTTTATGGGCCTGAAATGGGAACCCAGGTCTGGCAAGAAGGTTGATTCCTTTCACCATATTTGACATCCCCTCAAATGACCTTGACCGTCTGGGAAGGTAGAAGGTGTGTGACTGAGCCCTTTCAAGGGCAGCACCCAGGTACTGGGGTACCGCCACTGTGGAGATGCCTGACAGAAGCAATCGTGTGAAGTTGGACCACGTGGCTCTGCCCATGCCTCCCCAAAATGGGGGTGAGCCCATGGGGAAAGGGCTGCATTCCTAGCGATGAGAGTGCTATTCCACAGGCCAAGGTTTTTCTAACATATTTTGAAAAACAGGCCTTGAAAATGCCTCCTTTCTAGGGGACCTTGTGGGCAGCCACAGACGGGCTGAAGCTTAACTTCCAGGCATCATTTTTCTTGCAGAAATGTCCATTGCCATCCTGGTGATCTGGAAGGCTGCTGTGCAAAGAAGAATGGGCTGCCAAGGAGTGACATTCGGGTCTGGATTTAGTCCAGCGGGGGATGCGTCACGCACCCAAGTGATGGCCAGCGGAGAGGAAGGCTGACGTGGAAATAAATATCCGCTCTGTGTATTGATCTGATTCATCCAATTACCTAGGAAGCTCAATTGAGAGAGGTCCAAGGGAATGACTCAAATGTCACCCGAATGATGCCCGAAAGGCTTCAGCCAGCATTTTTTTCTCATATCGCTGATATCAGAGGAGACTGTTAGTTACTGAGAATATTAATTGCTGCTGAGAGCTGGGTGTAAAGTTAAATGGAAATGAAAAACCCCCACACAGCCATGATGGCTGTGATGGCTCTGGGGGCAGAGTGGATGCTGAGCTGAACTGGTCCAGCTGGTTAATTTTACTTGACAGTTTTCATTTCTATTTCTTTTCTTTAATTCATAAATAATGGAAAATCACTGTTATGTGCTGAGTTGTGTCCTCCCCAAAACTCACACGTCAAAGGCTCAACCCCTGGCACCTTCGAAGATGGCTGTATTTGGAGATGAAGTCTTTAAATAGGCAAGTAAGTTAAGGTGGGCCCTGGTCCATTAGATTGATGTCCTCATAGAGAGGAGGTGAGGACACAGACACACAGAGGGTCCACCATGTGAGGACATGGAGAAGAAGGTGTCTATAAGCCAAGCTCAAGAGAAGCCTTGTGGGGGATCAGCCCTGCCAACACCTTGATCTTGGACTTCCAGCCTCCAGGACTGCAAAAGAAATTCATTTCTGTCATTGAAGCTTTTGTTACTTTATGGTAGCCCCAGCAACCTAAGACAGCACCTTTGACATTTCAATTCCATTTCCAAGATCTAATCACTAGGTAAATTCTGTATAGTGCATCAGAGGACCTAACAAGTCACAGAGAAATTGGATTTTTTTCAGGTAAGAAAACTCTCTTGTCCACTGAAACAGTAACTAAGCTTTGATTGCCAGAGTTCTCCTTATGGTTCTTCTAGGTCTTTTGTTTATCTGAGTCCTCCAATGTAGAGCAACTATTGCTTCTGCTCAAATCGTTTGATTTTTATTACTTTTCCATCGTCAATGTTCTCTAGCTAAAGAGCACCAGGAGCACACTTACAGTCAAATAAAACTGAGGTTTTTGACTCATTTCATGACACCATAAGCCACAGGAAACCGTAAGGAGGTCACAGTAATATCGAAAAGGACTCACAGTGCCTGGGCTTGAGTTGGGTGATTCGGGGGAAGATCCAGGATGCTGTTAGCAAGGAGGGGGTGATTCCGTGTTCGGCTATCTTAATAATTCTCACCTAAAAGGCAAAAAGAACCATGTGAGGCTGAAGCCACTGTTGGAAGAAAAGCAGCCATCACTGACCTCAGCCGGGATAGGCGATGGGGGATCATTTTTTTGTTTCAATGTTCTTGCTCTGGTCTGAGCAGACAAAACTGTAGGCAGAGTGGTCTTGTTTTCATCTTGATCTGGTGACCTCATGAGTGCTCTTGTCTGAGTTGGTGTTCGTGGAATCGTCGGTGTTCAATGGGACACAAGGCCAGCTGCGAGGGCCAGCCCTGCTCCCTCCCCTCTCGTCTGTGTACTTATTCCTCAGTCACGTAACACGGCGCGCTCTCTCTATGGCCTAGAAGCAGGGAGTCATTTACAGGGGCAGCCCCAGCATCGTCCCTCACCCCCCAGGCCCCTGCGCACCCTGGCTTCACTCTACTGCCCTGCACCCTGCCACGTGCTCTGAGTTCGTTTACACGTGGTTTGTTGGTATTGGCAGTCTCCGTTAGGACAGGGCCGTGTCAGCAGCCATACCTCATTTTATTGATCTTCAATAAGACTGTTTTTGATATTGATTGAATCTTTTTTAAATGCAGTATCTGAAGTACAATTATTTTGTGGCAACTGTGCATCGAGCAAGTCTGTCAGCACCATTTTTCCAGCAGCGTGTGCTCACTTTGGGTCTCTGTGCCACATTTTCCTAATTCTCACAATATTTCAAACTCTTTCTTATTATGATATCTTCTAAGGTACTCTCTGCTCAGTGATCTTTCGTGTTACTATTCTAATTGTTTAGGAGCACCACAAACTGTACCCATAAAAGACAGAAAATTTAACTGATAAAATGAGTGTTCTGGCTGCTCCATCAACTGGCCGTTCCCCCATCTCTCCCTCTCCTCGGGCCTCCTCATTCCCTGAGACACAACAATATTGAAATGAGGCCAATTAATAACCCTACATTAGACTTTAAGTGTTCAACTGAAAAGCAGAGTCACACATCTCTCATTTTAAATCAAAAGTTAGAAATGATTAAGCTTGGCTGGGCGCAGTGGCTCACACCTATAATCCCAGCACTTTGGGAGGCCGAGGTGGGCCGATCACGAGGTCAGGAGATCAAGACCATCCTGGCTAAGATGGTGAATCCCCATCTCTACTAAAAATGCAAAAAAATAGCCAGGCGTGGTGGCACACAACTGTAGTCCCAGCTACTCAGGAGACTGAGGCAGGAGAATTGCTTGAACCCAGGAGGCGGAGGTTGCAGTGAGCTGAGATCCCACCACTGCACTACAGCCTGGGTGACAGAGTGAGACTCCATCTCAAAAAAAAAAAAAAGAAAGAAAAAAGAAAAGAAAAAGAAAGAAATGATGAAGCTTAATGAAAAGACATGCTGAAAGGTTGAAAGCTAGGCCTCTTGTGCCAAACGGGCAAGTTTTACAACTGACAAAGGAAAAGCTCTTGAAGGAAATGAAAAGTGCTACTCCAATGAACATATGAATAATAAGAAAGCAAAACAGCTTCATTGATCATATGGAGAAAGTTCTAGTGGTCTGGATGGAAGATCAAACCAGCCACGACATTCTCCTAAGCTAAAGCCTAATCCAGAGCAAGGCCCTAACTCTCTTCAACTCTGTGAAGGCTGAGAGAGCTGAGGAAGCTGCGGAAGAGTTGAAAGCTAGAAGAGGTTGGTTCATGAAGTTTAAGGAAGACGCCATCTCCATAACCTAAAAGTGCAAAATGAAGCAGCAAGTGGTGAGGGAGAAGCAGAAGTGGGTGATCCAGGTGATCTAGGTAAGATCGTTGATGAATGTGGCTGCTCTAAACAACAGACTTTCAATGTAATTAAACAAGCCTTCTATTGGAAGAAGATGCCATCTTAAGACTTTCGTAGCTAGAGAGGAGAAGTCAATGCCTGCCTTAAAGCTTCAAAGGACAGGCTGGCTCAGTTGTTAGAAGCTAATGCAGATGACGACTTTAAGTTGAAGTCAGCACTCATTTACCATTCCAAAAATCCTAGGGCACTTAAGAATTATGCTAAATCTACCCTCCTTTGCTCTACCAATGGCACAATGAAGCCTAAATGATAGTACATCTGTTTACAGCATGGTTCTAAACATTTTAATGTTTTAAGCCCACAGTTGAAACCTACTGCTCCAAAAAAGAATTTTTCTTCGAAATGTTATTGCTCACAAATAGTGCACATGGCCGCTCAAGAGCTCTGGTTAGGATGTACCAGAGTCGTGCACCTGTAGTCATGTGGAGTCAAGTGCCTGTAGTCACAGCTATTCAGGAAGCTGAGACGAAAGGATCACTTGAGCCCAGGGGTTTTTGTCCAGCCTGGGCAACATAGCAAGACCCCATCTTTGAAAAAAAAATGAGAGAGATATATAGGTTGGCTGAGTGCATGAAAAAATGACCCAACTACATGATGCCTACAGGAAATTCACTTCACCTGTAAAGACAAATATGGACTAAAATTGAAAGGACAGAGAAAGATATTCCCTGCAAATGGAAACCGAAAGAGCTGGGAGTAGCTTCACTTCAATAAAGCAGACTCTGAATCAAAAAGTGTTAAAAAGAGACAAATAAGGTCATTATAAAATGATAAAGGGATGAATCTGACAAGAAGATATGACTCTAAATATATACGCACCCAATAACACAGTACCCAGATACATAAAGCAAATAATGTTAGACTAAAGGAAGAGATAGATACTAATACAATAATAGTTGGAGACTTTAACACCCCACTCTCAGCACTGGACAGATCATCTAGACAAAAAATCAGCAGAGAAACATTGGATTTAAACTGCACTTTAGACCGAATGAACCTAACAGACATTTACAGGACATTTTATCCAACAGCTGCAGAATACACATTCATTTCATCAGCATAGGCAACATTCTCCAGGATAGGCCACATGTTAGGCCACAAAACATATCTCAACAAATTTTTAGAAATCAAAATCACATCAAGCATCTTCTCAAACCACAGTGGAATAAAACTAGAAATCAATATCAAGAGGAACTTTGGAAACTATACAAATATATGGAAATTAAATTACATACTCCTGAAAAACCACAGGGACAATGCAGAATTTAAAAAGGAAATTTAAAAAATCTTGAAACAAGCCAGGCATGGTGGCTCACACCTGTAATCCCAGCACTTTGGGAGGCTAAGGCAGGTGGATCACTTGAGGCCAGGAGCTTGAGACCAGCCTGGCCAACATGAAGAAACCCCATCTCTACTAAAAATACAAAAATTAGCCCAGCATGGTGGCACATGCTTGTAGTCCCAGCTACTCGGGTGGCTTAGGCATAAGAATTGCCTGAACCCAGGAAGCGGAGGTTTCAGTAAGCCGAGATTATGCCACTGCACTCCAGCCTCGATGACAGAGCAAGATTGTCTCACAACAACGGCACCAACAACAAAAAAAGTCTTGAAACAAATGAAAATGGAAACACACATATCAAAATCTATGGGACACAGCAAGAGCAGTGCTAAAAGGGAAGTGTATAGCAATAAATGCCTACATCAAAGAAGAAGAAATATTTCAAATAGAAAACCTAATGATGTACCTCAAGGAACTAGAAAAACAAGAACAAGCCAAATGCAAAATTAGTGAAGGGAAAAAATAATAAAGTTCAAAGTAAGGACAGGTGCAGTGGCTAACACCTGTAATCCCCACACTTTGGAAGGCTGAGCGAGGAGCATTGCTTGAGCCTGGGAGTTTTAGAGCAGCCTGGGCAACATGGTGAGACTCCATCAACATAAAAACTTTTTTAAAAAATAGCCAGGCATGGTGGCACAGATCTATAGTCTCAGCTACTCAGGAGGCTGAGGCAGGAAGATAGCTTGAGCCAGGAGGTCAAGGCTGCAGTGAGCTGTGCTCATGCCACTGCACTCCAGCCTGGGGGACAGAGCAAGGCCCTGTCTCAATTCGTAAAAACAAAATAAAAATTTAAAAGATCAGAGCAGAAGCAGAACTAAACCAAATAGAGACTAAAAAATCACAAAGGATCAAAATGCCAAAATGTGACTTTTTGAAAAGATAAACAAAATTAATAAAACTGCTAGCTAGACTAACCGGGGGGAAAAAAAGGAAGACTCAAATAAGGAAAATCAAAAACATCAAGGAGACAGTACAACTGATACCACAGAAATACAAAGGATCATTGGAGACTATTGTGAAAAGTGATACACTAACAATTTGGAGCACCTGGAGAAAATGAATAAATTTTTGGACACATACAACCATCAAGATTGAACCAGGAAGAAACAGAAAACTTGAACAGGTCAATAACAAATAATGAGATTGAATCAGCAATTGAAAGTCTCCCAAGAAAGCCTAGGACTGAAAGATTTTACTGCTAAATTCTACCAAACTTACAAAGAACTAACACCAATTCTCAAACTCTTCCAAAAGAGAAGGAATTCTTCCAAACTCATTCTACAAGGCCAGCATTACCCTGATACCAAACGCAGACAAGGATACAACAGAAAAAGAAAACTACAGGCCAAAATTCCTGATGAGCATAGACACAAAAATCCTCAACAAAATACTAGCAAACTCAACCCAACAGCACATCCAAGAGATAATACGTCATGAGTAAGTGGGATTTAGCCCAAAGATGCAAGGATGGGTTAACATATACAAATCAGTAAATGTGATATTACATCAACACAATGAGGGACAAAAACCATATGATCATCCCAACAGACACAGAAAGTATTTGACAAAATTCAACATCCCTTAATGATAAAAATTCAATGCATTAGGCATAGAGGGAACATACTTTAACATAATAAAGGCCACATATGGCAAGCCCTCAGCTGACATCATACTGAATGGAGAAAAGCTGAAAACCTTTCCTCTAATAACTGAAACAAGACAAGGATGCTCACTTTCACCACTCTGATTCAACATATTACTGGAAGTCCTTGCCAGAGCAATCAGGCAAGAGAAGGAAATAAAAGGCATCCAAATTAAAAAAGAGGAAGTGAAATTGTCTCTCTTTGCAGGTAACATAATCATACATAGAGAAAAATCTAAAGACTTCACCAAAAAACTCTTAGAACTGATAAGTGAATTAAGTAAAATTGCAGTATACAAAACCAACATGCAAGAATCAATAGCGTTCCCATACACCAATAGTGAACTGAGAAAGAAATCAAGAAATAAATCCCATTTACAAGAGCGATAAAATAAATAGAATACCTAGAAATTAATTTAACCAATGATGTAAAATACTTCTACAAGGAAAACTACAAAACACTGATAAAAGAAATTAGGGAGGACACAAAAAACTGAAAGATCTCTCATGTTCATGGATCAGAATAATTAATATTGTTAAAATAACCATACTCCCCAAAGCAATCTACACATTCAATGCAATCCCTATCAAAATGCAATGACATTCTTCACAGAAATAGAAAAAACAGCCCTAAAATTTGTATGGGACTACAAAGACCCTGAATAGCCAAAGCAATACTGAGCAAAAAGAACAAAGCTAGAGGCATCATATTACCTGACTTCAAAATATCTTATAAAGCTAGTAACCAAAACAGCATGGTATTGTTATAAAAACAGATACACAGACCAATGGAGCAGTACAGAAAACCCAGAAATAAATCCACATAATCACAGCAAATTGATTTTCAACAAAAGCACCAAGAACATACATTGGGTAAAAGACATCCTTTTCAATAATTGGTGGCTGGGTGTGGTGACATGTGTGTGTAACCCCAACACTTGGGAGGCCAAGGTGGGAGAATTGCTTGGGCCCTGGAGATCACGACCAGCTGGACAACAAAGGGAGACCCCATCTCTACAAAAACTTTAAAAATTAGCCAAGTGTAGTGGATAGTGCCTATAGTTCCAGCTACTTCAGAGGCTGAGGTGGAAGTATTGCTTGAGCCCAGAAAGTCAAGCCTGCAGTCAACTACGATAGTGTCACTGCACTCCAGCCTGGGCAACAGAGTTCTGGACTCAAAATAAATAAATAAATAGTGCTGGAGAAACTGAATATCTATATGCAGAATAATTAAACTAGATTCCTATCTCCCCATCTACAAAAGCCAACTCAAAATGGATTAAAGACTTAAATGTTAAGACCTTAGAAGAAAATATAGGGAAAATGCTTCAGGACATCAGTCTTGGCAGATTTTATGACTAAGACCTCAAAAGCCTAGGCAACAAAAACAAAAATAGACAAATGAGAGTTAAACTAAGACTCTGTTACACTGAAAAAAAAAAATCCAGTGTGGAAAGACAACCTATAGAATGGGAGAAAATGTTTGCAAGCTACTCATCCAACAAAGGACTAATAACCAGACTACAAGGAACTCAAACAATTCAATGGAAAACAACAAGAAATAATTTGATTAAAGAGTGGGCAAATGATTTGAATAGAACTTTCTCAAAAGAAGATGTACAAATGGCCAACAGATATACGGAAAAATGTTCAACATTGCTAATCATCAGGGAACTCAAAATCCAAATCACTGTGAGATAGATATCCCAATTCAAATGGTTATTATCAAAAAGTCAAGAAATAAATGCTGGTAAGAATGTGGAGAAAATGTAACTCTTATACATTATTGGTGGGAATGTAAATTAGTACAGCCATTATGGAAAACGGTATGGAGGTTTCTCAAAAAAAAACTGAAAAACTAAAGTTAGACAGGGAGAGCTCCAACTTCTGTGTCTGCCCAAATATCTGGTGAATTCCAGAGTTATGCATGCATGAGACAGACTCTAAGCACTGCAGCTGAATTTTCAGTTGCTCACCGTTGCAAGGGAGACAGTTTGAAGATTAATGTTTGCCTAATAAGCCTGATTAAACAAACAATGAAACTAAATTGATAATCTTCAAAGGAATATAACAGAATTTGCATTCTTTTCACTGGGTAAGTTGCAATGTCCAAGACATAACCCTAAATTACTTGACGCATGAAAAAGCAGAAAATGTTATCCACAGGAGACAAAGAATTTTATAAATAAGGAAAGTAACAAAGTAATATAATTTAGCTAAGATTTGACAGCTAGTGAAAACCAGTGCCAAATCCTGAAACCTGGTCTACTAACTCTAAATCCCACTTTCTTTTCACTTCTTTAAATCTGTCCCATCTCTAAAATTTTATGTCAGTATGATATATTTCTTCCAATTTAATAAAAATATTTTGCTCTGAAAAAAAAAAAAAAAACTTAAAAACCATAAAACTCACTACTGAGTATTTATCCAAAAGAAAGAAAGAAAATCAGTACATCAAAGGTATACCTGCATTCCCACGTTTATTGCAGTACTATTCACAATAACCAAAATAGAGAATCAACCTGTGTCCATCAAGGAATGAATGGGTAAAGAAAATGTGGTATATATACACAATGGAATACTATGCAGCCATTAAAAAGAATAAAATCCTGTCATTTACAGCAACATGGATTGAACTGGATTACATTATGTTAGGTGAAATAAGTCACGCACAGAATGACAAATATTACATGTTCTCATTCATATGTGAGAGCCAAAAATGTTTATCTCATGGAGGTAGAGAGCAGAATGATAGTTTACCAGAGTCTGGGAAGAATGGGGAGGGCGATGAAGAGAGGCTGGTTAATGCATACAGACAAACAGTTTGAGAGAAGGAATAAGTTCCAGTGTTTGACAGCACAGTAATCTAACTATGGTTATATTATATGTTAACAACAATATGTTTTATATTTCACAACTAGAAGACTTAAAATGCTCCCAACACAAAGAAATGGTAACTTTTCAAAATGATGGATATCCTAAATGCCCTGATTTGATCATTACATTTTGTATGCATGTACCAAAATATCACATGTACTGATAAATATGTTCAATTATCATGTATGAATTTATTTTTTAAAAGTGAGGAGTTGACACAGCTACCCCAAACTTTAGCAATTACCACCTGATAGTCAACAGCCATCAACATCAGGGCAAGACCCTCCACCAGCAAAAAGATTGTGATTTGTCAAAGGCTCAGATGCTCCTTAGCATTTTTTTAAGCAATGAAGTATTCTTAATTAAGATATGTACATTGGGTTTTTAGATATAATGCCAGTGCACACACTAGATGACAGTACAGTGTGAACATAACTTTTATATGCATTGGGAGACCAAACAATTTGTGTGACTCACTTTACTGCGATCTTCACTCTATTGCAGTGGTCTGGAACAGAATCTGTAATGTTTCTGTGGTATGCCTGTATTTTTTCACTGATGTATCCTTATTGCCTGGAACACAGTATGTACTCAGTAAACATTTGCTGGCAATGCTATTAATTAAAGAACATATTATCTGTATGATACATATGCACCTGGCCAAATAACATCTGATTTTTTTTTTTTTTTTGAGGCACTGTCTCACTCTATTACCTAGGCTGAGTGCAGTGCTGTGATCCTGACTCACTGCAGCCTCAACCTTCCAGACTCAAATGATCCTCCTGCCTCAGCCTACTGAGTAGCTGGGACCACAGATGCACACCACCACACTCGGCTAATTTTTAGATGTTTTTACTGCAGAGACAAGGTCTCACTATGTTGCCCAGGCTCGTCTCAAATTCCTGGGCTCAAGGGATCCTCCTACCTTGGTCTCCCAAAGTGCAGGGATTACAGGCAAGAGCCATTGCACCCAGCCAACATCTGATCTTTTCTAGTAGAATATTTCAATGTCTTGATTCTCAGGAACACTTTTCCAAAAGATAATTAAGAGTAGCTCCATCCATCCAACCACACACTCATCCATTATCCACAACCCATCCATCCATTTATCCACTCAGTTTTTCGCCATCCATCCACCCATCTTATCCACCATTCATCCACCTACCCACCCATCCAGTCAGCCACCCACCCATCCATTTACCCATACGCCCACCATCCATTCATCATGCACCCAACACCTATCCATCCACCCATTCATCCATCTACCCACCCATTCAGCCACTCATCCATTCAGACATCCATCCCCCGCTGGGCGGGGCTAGGAGAATGTGGAGCAGAGCCAGGAAAGGCGTGGCCAGGAGAGGCAAGGAGGGGCTTATGAGGCCAAAGACCAAGGCGGTGGCCGGGTGGGAGTCAGAACCTTGGGCCAGTGTGGCCCTTGTTGGGTCCCAGTTTCTTGCTCCATCCTTGGAATCAAGGGTAGTGGGACTTTGACATCGGGAAGGTCTGACACAAAGAGCTCCCCGCCCACTCCAAGTCTTTCCAGGAGGGGCCTCAAAACCCGCGGCCCTCTCCTGCTATCAGCACTGCTCATTCCAAACCCATCTCGGCCCCGGCTGAGGGAACAGATGACAGCTTTACTCCAAGTGACATAAATGATGAATATTTATCACGTTGGAACAAAGAAGAATATTTGTCATTTCTAAATAGCCTTATCCAACTGGGACAGGGATGCTTACTATATTGTTCAAGCTAGTGTTAATTTTAAGTAACCCACATCTGTAACTATAACACATTACTTTGAATGAGTAGTACTTGCTTTCTGAACAACATACAGCGATCAGTCGCCATGGTAGAGTACATTTTTCATTAAAAGGCAGCTCACAGATGAGCTTATGGGAGCGGGTTCTGCCAGGTGGAAGCGAAACTGATGGCTCACAAAGGAGCTATTAGCAGTTGCCAAAGAATGAATTAAGTCTTCAAGACCTTGGCATTACCCCAGAGCATAATTTTCCTTGCCTTTCAGTCTTGCTCTCACTTTCTGCTTCAGTTCTTAGTTGGCACCGCCGTTACATGACACAGCAACTCTTAGACTGCTTGTTTTTGGTCAGAAAATAAAGGGGAAAAAGCTGAATCTAGCCATTCCCGTGGCCAGACTGTTTTTTCTTTCTCTGTGTGTTTTCCCTGTTCTTTGCTACCAAGTGGCATGGGGAGGGGGGGACTTGAACCATGACAGTATCGTGAAAATTGCCAGGCTGTTTTGTACTGTAATTTGAGGGGTTCCCTGGTGGCATTAGGTTGTGGGAGCAGCCTTATCTGTTGTGGGAACCCTGCAAGTGGCCCACTTTGCAGGCAACACCCTGGGTGTGTCTCCCTCCTGTTGTGCAGGGGGTGAGCAGCCAGAGGAGCCCCTCCATTGCTACTGGACTCGGGCACGTGTTTACAATCTGGAGGGTAGAGACTAAAAGTAAGAAGCAAAAGGATGAAATTTTTCTTCCTAATAGTGAATGTTTAATCACACATAACACCAAAATTCAATCTTTGTGGCTCATGCCTATAATCCCAGGCTTTTGGAGGCTGAGATGGGTGGTTTGCTTTGAGCCCAGGAGTTTGAGACCAGCCAGGGCAACATACTGAGACCCAGTCTCTACAAAAAAAAAAAATATATATATATATATACAAAAATTAACTGGACATGGTAGCGCATGACTGTAGTCCCAGCTACTCGAGGGGCTGAGGTGGGAGGATGGCTTGGACCCAAGAGGAGGTGAGGTTGTGGTGACCCAGGGTCATGCTACTGCACTCCAGCCTGGGCAACAGAGCAAGACCCTGTCTCCAAAAGGAAAAAAAAATGATTAAATATTTATCTGCAGCAATAAATGTACCTGGAATTTAAAGCAGATTATAAGTTGTGGGAAGTAAAAAAGTTCCACTTTAAAGTTTCCTTTCTTGTGAAAGAATAAATCATAAGTGCGCTAATAACTCTTTTTTAAACCCTATCCTATGTAGCTGTTGGACATGCCATGCTTGCAGGCCCGTAGTACACCCTATGTCCTTGTAGTTTAACCAAGACATCTGTGCTAGACATTCTCACAGGCATGCCCCAGCTCGCCCACTATGCCCCTTAACTGTTTAGAAAAGTTTTAAGTTATTAGCCAATTGGGTTTTAGTTTAGATTGTGAGATCTGGCTCCAGCCAATAGAGATCAGACACAGCAGTAAGGATGACCCCCCCAATGTGTGAGGAATAAATTTTACGTCTACTTTTCCTTTGTTCATTGTACTCTTACAGCAAGATGGCTAGTGAGAGTACCCTTTCTGCAGTCCAGGAAGTAAAGATTGCTTTGCAGGGAGATCCTTTGTCTCAGTGCTGATTTTTCTTTGTGCCACTGAGCACCTGTTTCCAACATAAGTGAACTTGGGATATTCATCAGTGAACAGTTTTTAAATTGAAGCCACTTAGACTGATGTTTAATAGGATTTAATTTCAGCTGGGCTCAAAGGCAAAAGTGAACTACCACGGCAGCACAAGGGAACTCTTTCCAAAGACTAAAGTGCATGTTGGAAGATGTTACGAGCCTTGCCCTGGCTCTTGCCTAAGTGGCCTAAGATTTTAGAGGACCAGACTAGGAACAGCACATGAAACGGCTTCACAAGTTAAACACTTGCTCCTCTCCGTCAAGTGAACCAAAACAACCCAAATCCCTGATTGATTCATTTCATTGTTTGGCCACACTTAAAGTTGATCTTTAGCCTCTCAGTTTATGACTTCCACATCTGTCTCTCTAATCGCCTTTTCCACCTAAGCTGTGTTTCCAGCCACACATTCATTTTCACATAAATGGCACTTTCTCCTGAAATGCAACAATTCCAAAAGAGCACTTAGCATTTTCTTCCTTCCGCCTCCCATCCCTCAGACTGGCTCTGCCTCCATGTCCCCACCCCCATCCCACCCCATCAGGACCTGCTGTTCCCCCGGAGTCCAGGCTCAACCTCTGATGCGTCATCTGTGAGTCACTGCCGGCGTTCATTCACTCATAAGGTCAGTAGTGTCGCTTTTTCCGGAAAATGTCTGTACCTTTCTCCTCATTCCTTCTCCCTTTTCAGTGCTGCCTCCACTCTAAGGTTTCCATTGTCTGCAGGAGCCAACTTGAAGCCCTGGCTACTGAAAATCCTCTGGCCATCTCATCACAGACATGATGTCTAAGAAGAAGGAGGTTAAAATTCTGTGCTCCTACTTCATCAGACCACATGACAAGTATGAGATTTCAGCAGAACTCTTGACAAATCCAGTTGTGTCCAGATGATGTTCTGGAAACCATCACTTAGATGAAGGAATACTTGAGGCAACCAAGAACAATTAGCTGTGGGATGGTCGGAGGAACCCGGGGGCTGACAGTGAACATTTTGAACGTTGACCTGTGGATGTGAGTAGACCCATGGGCTCTGCACAGACTCTCTGGGTAAGAATCCTGCCCTGTCTCCAACCAACTACGGGACCTCAGCCAAGTTACTTCCCTCTGCTTCTTGATTTCTTCACCAGCAGATTATGGACAATAACAGTATGCTCATAGCTCCTCAAGGACTGGAATGGGGTTAGGGTGTTCATAAAGGGAAATGTTCAACATGTTAGCTGTGAAAATAATGGCGGTGGACTTTTTGATGATTAAAAAAAAAAAAAAAGGCCCAGAGAGGACAAATGAGAAAGTGTAAGAAAGTAGAATTTGGCCAGGTGTAGTGGCTTACACCTGTAATCACAGCACTTTGGGAGGTCAAGGTGGATGGATCACAAGATCAGGAGTTCAAGACCAGCCAGACCAACATGATGAAACCCTGTCTTTACTAAAAATACAAAAATTAGCCGGGGTGGTGGCAAGTGCCTGTAATCCCAGCTACTCAGGGGGCTGAGGCAGGAGAATTGCTTGAACTCAGGAGGCAGAGGTTGCAGTGAGCCAAGATCGTGCCACTGCACTCCAGTCTGGGCGACAGTGATACCGCCTCTCAAAAAAAAAAAAAAAAAAAAGGTAGAATTTGGCCAGGTGTGGTGGCTCATGCCTGCAATCCCAGCACTTTGGGAGGCCAAGGTGGACAGATGGCTTAAGTCCAGGAGCTCAAAACCAGCCTGGGCAACTTAGGAAGACCTCATTTCTACCAAAAAAAAAAAAAAAAAATTACCAAAACTAGCCAGGTGTGGTGGCATGAGCCTGTGGTCCCAGCTACTCCAGAGGGTGCAGTGAAAGGATTGTCTGAGCCTGGAAGGTTGAGGCTGCAGTGAGCCAGGACTGCACCACCGAACTCTATCAGGCAACAGAGCAAGACCTCAAAAAAAAGAAAGTAGAATTCAACTCAAAAGATCCAGCTGGGTGCAGTGGCTCATACCTGTAATCCCAGCACTCTGGGAGGCTGAGGCAGATGGATCACTTGAGGTCAGGAGTTTGAAACCAGCTTGGCCAACATGGCAAAATCCAGTCTCTACTAAAAATACAAAAATTAGCTAAAAATACAAAAATTAGCTGGGCATGGTGGGCACCTGTAGTCCCAGCTACTGGGAGGCTGAGGCAGGAGAATCACTTGAACCTGGGAGGTAGAGGTTGCAATGAGCCAAGATTGTGTCATTGCACTACAGCCTGGGCAACAAAGTAAGCCTCTATTTTTAAAAAGGGGAAAAAAAAGATCCTCCTTTAAGCTCTCTCTCTCTTTTTTTTTTTTTTTTTTTTTTTTTTTTTGAGACAGAGTTTCGCTCTATTGCCAGGCGCCAGGCTGGAGTGCAATGGCGTGATTCCGGCTCACTGCAACCTCCGCCTCCCGGGTTTAAGCAATTCTCTTGCCTCAGCCTCCCGAGTAGCTGGTACTACAGGTGCGCACCACCACGCCCAGGTAATTTTTGTATTTTTAGTAGAGACAGGGTTTCACCATGTTGGCCAGGCTGGTCTCGATCTCTTGACCTCATGATCTGCCCGCCTTGGCCTCCCAAAGTGCTGGGATTATAGGCGTGTACCACTGCACCCGGCCTGTTGCACTTTTTAATATTAACTTACAACACACTAAAATACAACTGTCCTGCTCTCCCTCATCTTGAATAGAAGAAAAAACCCACACCATCTTTCACTTTTATGCCGCAGTTGGGAAATGACAGATTCTTCTTTGTCTAAAAACCATAGACTAAGTCAGAGGCATAGCTAGAGGGAGAACTCGGGTCTGGCTGCCGTGCCAAGCTCTCTGCCCAATGGTAGGGGTGCTTGCCCTCCTTAACTGTTGCTTCGTCACTCCGTGTCTCACCAAAGGAAATGGAGATATTTGAACTCTACCACATCCTGTTCGCTCCAGGTTTGCACGGTTTCTCCGATTTCTTTCCATTTCTCCCTCTCTCTCTCTCTCTCTCTCTCTCTCTTAGATGGGGTCTTGCTCTGTCTCCCAGGCTGGAGTGTGGTGGCACAATCACAGCTCACTACAGCCTCAACCTCCCAGCCTCAAGTGATCCTCCCACCTCATCCTCCCAGGTAGCAGTCCCACACCACCACATCCAGCTAGTTTGTGTATTTTTTGCAGAGACAAGTTGCACCATGTTGCCCAACCCGGTCTCAAACTCCTGGGCTCAAGTGACCCACCCACCTTGGCCTCCCAGTGTGCTGGAATCACAAATATGAGCCACCACCCCCGACCTTTTCTCTGATTTCTTAGCACAGGAGCTGTGGTGAATAAAACAGAACCCTGCCCTTCGGACCAGTGCACTAAGGTCAAATCACAAGTCACATGTGAACCACTGTGCCCCCCCTACCACGAGACTCTGCATTGCTAATGAATTCCCATGTAATTCCAGGGCTAGAGGCCCATGGACCCCACCTCGAATAAACAGAGTAACACTTTTGTAATAAAAAATATGGCCAAGCACAGTAGCTCATGCCTGTAATCCCAGCACTTTGGGAGGCTGAGGTGGGTGGATCATGAGGTCAAGAGATCAAGACCATCCTGGCCAACATGGTAGAATTCCAACTCTACTAAAAATATAAAGATTAGCTGGGCGTGGTGGCGTGTGTCTGCAGTCCCAGTTACCTGGGAGGCTGAGGCAGGAGGATCACTTGAACCCGGGAGACAGGGGTTGTAGTGAGCTGAGATCGTGCCACTGCACTCCAGCCTGGGCAACAGAACAAGACTGTCTCTCAAAATATATGCGTGTGTGTGTGTGTGTGTGTGTGTAGCAACAGAACAAGACTCTCTCTCAAAATATATGCGTGTGTGTGTGTGTGTGTGTGTGTGTGTGTGTGTATATATACATTGATACACAAGTACAAAAAATGTCCTAGAGTAGACTGTACTGAAGAGTAGTCGTCTTTAGAAAGATCTTTGTCTCCCTTCGCTAAACTTCTTCCTCAAAAATTTTATAGTGAACACATAAAGAAAACATTGAAAATGCAAGGAATTGTATTGCTATGGGAAAAATTAAAGAACAGCGTTGCATACCATTGTGGAAAATTGCACACTCTTCCAACGCATCTCCTGCTGCCTGGGGCAGCCTCTCTTCACGGTCCTCAGACGCGTCCTTCAGCAAAGTAGAGAGGGCAAACGGCATCCCACCTGCTGCTCTGAAAGAGAAAAGGCAGTGAGTGGTGTCTGGCCCAGCTGGGCTTTCCCGAGGGCCCTGAAGGGTGCACCAACTCTCTGGACACCTGCTTCTGGTGCGGCAGAGGTCAGACACCGGCAGCTACACATAGTAGCACAGAGGGGTCTTCCTTCTCCTTCATTCTCACGATCTCCTCCTCACCCTGGGTCTCCCTGCCCCAGCCACTGTCTGGGACAATGACCTTCCTTTTCCTTGAATTCATGGCCCAGCCAGTGGAGGTGTCCAGTGG